GAGTTCTTTTTCTATAATTGTTTTTAATGATAGAAGCTTCATTGAATTCCAATTTCATTCATAATTTGGGAGGTTGAAAGTCTGCACTGTATATATATACTGCAGACATAGATACAGATACAAACTAATGAAATTCCATCGTTATAGCAAGTTCTGACAATTTTGGTGAAAGGTTACAGTAGATGAGATAGTGATGGAGGAAATGAACTGTACCAAAGAGAGCTGTTTGAATTACTGTTCTGTACCAGTGCTGCTTGTGAGAATTTGGTAAGTTAATGTGTCCTTTGCTGTGCTTTCTCTATGAGCCATGAAAGTTTGGGTGATTCTGGAAATAGGGAACAACAGAAGACACTGAAACCTTCCCCAACCATCATGGACTAAAGTCTGGGTAACTTTTCCATAAGGATCCATGTTTCTATTTTTAAATGGACTTAGAAAAGAGCTAGTTTTGAATAACTGAATTTGAGACGCATTTTAAAAGCCAAGAATTTCAAAGTTGGAGTGAGTTTGAAAGAATTAATTTATTCTTTTGTGCAATTTTCAGTACAGTGAGATGCTAGGGACAGAGGGACAGCCTTCTCTCTGCATTTTCTTTGCTCTGTCTGGTTTTGTATCAACTTTAATGCTAATCAGATAGTGATGGAAGGACAATTCTTAATTTATACTTCAGGAAATACTGCTATACTTAAAAAAATCAGAAATGAAAATTATAACCATTATAACCATGCACTTCAGAATGAAAGGTCAAAGCAGTTCTCCAATCAAGCTTAGATTACTATTTTTTACAATGAATTTAGCTTTCACTCTAGCACTATTATTACTATTTATTTTCTGAAGGATGGCTACAGCTATGTGTGACTGGATACATCATTTTGTCCAGATTTAGCCTGTGGAAACAGCCTCTCTGGAAGCAGCTCCTGAAAACAAGACTCTTCTGTGGAAGCTCCCTGAGATGGCACCTAGGCACTGTGGTAATAGCAATAACAACAGTAATAGGAGTAGATGGAGCACTGTGCTGATGGGCTCTCTGTTGACTACTTTTCTGTTAGAGGTTTCATGCTTAAGGTATGATTTTGGGGATGTGAGGTCTCATTTCCAGCCATATCCTGCCAACGTCATAATTGTTTCCTGGCCATTTAAGGACCTGAAACTATGGCTGAATATTAGAAACTCTTTTCTAATTAAGCCCAAGCCAACTGCATCAGCAAAGTGATAACAGTTTAACACAGTTAAGTAACAGCTTCAATTTTTCTCCAGATTCTTACCCTACTTTCTTTCTGGGGACACGGCACAGTGCTTGGCTGAGTCATCTGTTTATAAAGTAACCATTTAGATAAATAAGTTGATGAAGGGGACAAGAATAGGAAAGAACAGGGGCAGAGGGGTGTTTCCCCATTCTCTTAGAATCACTACACTTCATGGTTTTAAGGTAGGACAACCAGTTCCTGAAAGGTTTCCTTGTCTTCTATATCCAGAGCCAATGGCCTCTGGATGCTTTGTGTAATAAAGTTGTGTTAATATGGTTTGGCTTCTTAGCCTGAGTAATAGCTACAACCAATGCACACTTAAGGTAGTTATACTAATCATGATTCATTTAGAAGTTTATTAGAACTCTGGCTTCTGTTCTTACTTTGAGAACAGATCAGTAGAGACTTTTTGAGAAGTCTGGTCAGGAAACATAACTCTTCAAAATAAAATTGAGCACTATATGAGTTTACTTATGTTACAACATTCTAAAAATGAAACACTGCAAGATGTATTTTATATAACAATTGATTGTTACAGCCTGTGTCAGCAGGGTAAGTGCAAGATCCAGTTTAATAAGATTTTGTGAGAACTTTTTGTGGTCTTTTAAAATCACATCTATGGAACTAAAGTTTTCTTGTTACGAGTTTTCTGGGCCAGCTGACACTGGAAATGTCCCAAGATGATTAAGATTTTAGAGCCAACTTGTAACAAAAAGTTATAAAGCAGAAGCGATTGTGGTTGAACTCTGCAGAAGTCTTTTCAAAGCCTCAAGTTTTCATGCTTTCAGTGAGCCTGTTTACACTCTGTGTTTTTCACCTGTATATTGGATTTCATATTCATGTAAACAACTCTAGTAATGTCCCATTCAGCACAGAATAATAGATCTGCACTCAGAACTAGCAGAGCAACAGAAACTTCTTGCCTGAACGTATTTCCTTTGAAATTAGCAAATTCCTGCATAACTGCCAGAGGAAAATGAGAAATGGGCAAGAAAGGGTTGTATTCTGCACTGCTGAAAATGACAACTGGATATAGATGGAGCAGCTTGTTGTCCCTCAGTTTTCAGCAAGAGAATAACTTGCCAGCCCAGCTGAGAGCTTTGTTTGGAACTGCCAGGCAGGAATGCTGCTAATTTTAAGCAGTCAGAGTGTCTTGGCTGACTGTCAAGCATCTATGGCAACTGGCTATGTCTGCACCTGCACCTGTGCAAGAAGTATCATCCCCTATTCTGAAAGACCCACAGTGAATGTCTTTTGCGTGAGAGCAAGTACAAACCACTATCTAATGTGTACATTATTCTTTGCAGGGGACCTCTTGTGGTATTGTAACCCATTCTGGAAGCCAGAGAACAAGCTGGTCTCTTGAATAGTCTTGTACCCTTTAAAATCACATTATGACTGAGCCCTTACTAGTCTTAGCAGCTAAGATCAATTTTTGCTGACACAGGTAAGAAATGGTGGAAATATGTGTATGTTGAGTGAGAAGGTCTTTTGTGGAATTAGAAAAATAGCAGTACTAACTGCAGATGCATAACAGAGAGAGCTGTGTTGATTTTGGTTTAACCCCTGAAAAACTCAGGCAGGAAGTTACCATGGCAACAAGGTCTAAATCAGGCTAGCATGAACTAAAGGCTGAGATAACACAATCCCATTTTTAGCACTCCAAAATGGAGAAAAACCCTGATGATCACACTAAAGATGGAAACCATACAATTTCAAGCTGCATAATATGCTAGCAGGTCAACAGATGAAAGTAAAGAATGCCAGCAAGAAGTCCATTTCATGAGCACCCCAAATAAATACAAAATACTATATCAGAATATAAAAGTGAGAATTCTGGATGTGTCTATCCTGTTCAAACTGTTCAAACTGAAAACAAAATATGATTGTTAAAAGTAGTGATATAACACATATTTTTTTATCTTTTGGCATACTGTGGCCAGAAATGGATTTACCAGCTGTTTGTTCAGGAACTCTGTCTTTTCTACTCCAGTTCTTCTGAAAAACTCGTCCCCAAATATTTATCATTATAGACTAACTATGCTGGATCAAAATATGATCCCATTCCCTCCTACATTTAAAGGGTTGAAATCAATAGAATATTGCTTTACAAGCCAGTATTACCTCTAGTACTCTACAGCCTCATGGAGGATGTAGGATGGGCCACAGAAAAGGACCCTGAAGATCTGTGAGGTGTCTGCTGCAGCTAGGGGAACATGTAGGGACTCTGAGCAGAGACCAGAGAGGGGCAGTAAGCCACTGGACCAAAAGAATAAGCAGTTATTGGCAAAGGACTCATACAAATCATCCTTTCCTCAGATGGACTTTGTATGTAGCTCACTTCTGCCTAACTCAGACATTACCAGGTGGTATAAAATCATTGCCAGGACTAAGGAGGTTGTGTCAGTCTTGTCTCTTCTTCCCCAATGCTGGAAGTATTTTTTTCAGAGACAAAACAGTGGAAATTTTGTTCTTTCAAAAGTAATGCAAATAAATGTTTCAAAGAAGATATTCAGTGTAGTCGCCTGGGCAAGAATGATACAAGCCTAGGGGTCTTGGAACCACATTGACACCTGAGTAGCCTATTTGTAATTCTGCAGCACGCACAACGTGAAAGATCACTTCCATCTTGGCTAGGTAGCAGCATATGTTTTCTCATAAGAAATGTGAAGGTTAGTCAGGCAAAGCACCTCTGTCAACAGATTCTTTGTGAGGAGCAGATTGAATATTTCATGGGGACATTTTCCTGACAGATTTGTTGTCAGTCTTGGCTTCCTGCCCTAAAGACGCTTCTCTGATCAAACAGCAATGTCATTGTTCTGAATAGCCATACTCTGGATTAGAGCCTTTCTTCATCAAGCATTATACCTACTATGTATGTTTAAAGTGTTCCCATTTATTATCAGCTACCCTGCCACTCTATAAATTGGTATTATGCTGCATTTAGGATTGAAGTTTAACTGTGGAGTGTAAAAGACAAGCATACCAGAAACAGTAATTTGTCAGACAAACCATTCAACCATAAACATGTGATGTTATTAAAGGAATTGTGTTTTCCTACATAAACATGAAAATCCTATGAGTATCAGTTTAGCTGTGTTCATGACTGTTGCTGTTTGACCATAGCTACTCTCTACAGTTCCTGGTATTTAGCAGTACTGAATATTATGAAATAGTTTAATATTTCACTGATTTTTCCTTCATTAGTCCTAAAAGCCACTAAGGTGAATGTAAGCACATAAAACGTTACCTGAGCTTTTGCCAGGACAACCTTTTACATATTACTATATGAATAAAAATTGGACTATGGTGTCCCAAAATATTTTAAAATTTTAAATTTTAAAATATTCCAAGGAGAAACCCTACCTAGCACCAAGTTCAACAAAGCACTTTTCTGAGGAAATGAAATAATCCAGTAAACTAGGTTCTCCAAAGAGTTTAAAACATGGTGCCTCAGAAAATAAATATTATTTGAGATAATATACATATATATATGTATATTTCAAAGGCACTAAGGTAGCTTAATCTTTGAACAGCTCTGCACAGATAGATGTGAAGTCATGGAAGGGTGAAATATCCATCTATTTGAGCATATAGAGGATAATGCTCTGAGTATTTTTACTGCCTAGTTGGATTCTCAAGGGCTACTGCAGTAACATCCAACATGGGACCCTAATGTACCCAGCATTACCAAGTGAAATACCAATGAATAATGTAGCAGTTCTGTCTAACGTAAGAAATGAAGTTAATTACCTTTCTCTATTTCACTTTGGAAGGACAATTTCCGTCTTCGTAGTTTGCAGTTATCTCCATCTGTATCATTAGTAGTTTGTGATCTTATTACGAGGTCAGACTTGTTTAATGAAATATGAAACAAAATGACAGATTAGTCCCATCTAAAAAGGGCAGGTTTGTAATAGGTGATTGACTATTAATCATGTTCAAGCTTTAAGAAAGGCAGTATTACAGTCAGTCTGCATCAACCTCTCCATCCCCAGCTAATGGTATTGCCCAAGGCTAACATTAAAAACTTTATGCAAATTGACCCAAACCAAAAATGTCACCATCTCATGGTGAAATAAAATTAACCTGATAATAAATTTACATGGAAATACATATGTTCACGTGTTATCATCTTCCATGAACTTGCACAGACGTGGTTTAAGTACTCTTAGAGAAATTAATGGCAAAAAACCCCACCAAACCTCTAACAGAGAATATATACTATTGCAAGAAGTAATGTGGTATTGCAAGGATTGCAATTATATTTGTATTTAACTACATAGTAATGATTATAAAGTTTAAACTTTACAACAGTAAATATAAGGCTGACAAGCATGAAGCACTTTACGACTCATTGCTTTATCTTTCTAGACCCTTCCTTCCTTTCTGTCAGAGTTAGATCATTCAGATACTCATTGCCATACCAGAACCCAATCTTGCATTTTTGTATTCATCTTACAGGCTGTGCTTTCTTTCCATAATAAAACCAAGATGCATTTAAGCCTTTTTTTCCCCTACTTATTTAAAACTAAAAAATTTATAAATAAGCAAATATAACACCAGTTGAGCTCTTTGTGTACATACCTATGGCATAGGCTTCAACCTACTTCCCTTCCCTGTGCTATTGAGGTTTCCCATACCACTCAAGAAAGCAAATTGGCATGTAGGAGAAGGGCAGAGGGAAAGAAGTGGGAAGCGTTTACGTTTTTGCTATTCCCTTAATGGTAAACCTGGTGAGGTTTACAGTGGTGGCCCACTGGTAGAATAACTGCAGGAGGAAAAAGATGCCTTTACACAAATAGGAGGACAGGAGCAGAAATTGAGGCAGAAGCACCTATTATTCAGATAAAAAATTTTTTATCTGAGTGATGTTTTGAAGATGAGAATGTGCTCATTGTGTCTTTTGGGGGATGATTTTCTGGATTGCAATAGACAGTGGAAAGTAAGTGAAATTGCTAAAAACTGTGATTTTGCAAGCTCAGAAGCCTGGGTGAGCCTTTCCTCCCTTTTTTGTTTCCGTGAAGAACAGTGTTTTCTTTCTTAGTGGTTGGTACAGCAGTAAGCAATAACAACTGACAAATTTCTAAGATATGTAAGCAGTGTGAATTTTCTTTGTATTTTACACCACAAAACAGAAGATGGATTTTTTCAATTTACTCAGATATAAGGAAAAATTAATGATAAAACATGAATGGCAATGTAACTGCAAAAAGTAATTGCTCAGACTAAAACTGTTAATGTGAATTTATCCTCTAAGAATTTTTCAAATATGAGGACATTTACTTCTAACTTAAATTTATCACTAGAATATACATTTATTGTATTGTATTTCAGATGTAATTAATAATTATGACCTTTACAATACATAAAAAGGATAACTTTGAAAATAAAGAATATAATTGGTCTTTTATATTCAGAATGATATTTTATTAAAAGGGTTTATCATAAAGAGAAGTGATATTTATTCCCAGAAGTTATATTTGTTTCAATTAGCAAAGATGTCCCTGTCTTTTACAGCCTAAAAGTTAGTGCTCTTTTCTCCTTGTTTCTCAGAAGGCCTTTGAGGCCAAAATCTCACTGAACCTCTGTTTTCCCTTTAAGTATAGTTGGAAACTACAAAATAACAGTATCTCAGAAATAATGAAATGGGAACTAGTCATTCTGTGGACAGTGTAGTCCATGTCAGGTGGTACCTGCAACCTTGCAGGGAAGGCTTTAGCCTCAGTAGCACAAGCTCGGCAATTGCCTTTCCCTGCTCCCTTTTTGGCCAAACGTCCACTTTCTTTCCCAAGTCAGACTCACCCTGCCAGTCTGAAATAAGGAAACACTGGTGATTTTTTGACTTTCCTGAAGATGCAATTTGGGCAAAAGGGAGCATTTAGGACTGTCGCTGTGGTAAAAAGTGAGACCAAGAAATCCTTGCAAATATGAAGACTGACTGAAATTTGAAAAGACCCTTGTAAGTTTTTAGTCTCCTAGGAGGCAGAGTGCACTCCAAGATAAGAGAATTAAAAATTCATATTTTAAAGGCAATTAAATATTTTCAATTGCTAGACACAGAATGAATCTGGATAATCTGATTTATCCTTATCTTATGGATGTACAATTATATTTAGTGTCAAAAGTTCCCCTTGTGGTGACCTAGGCTATAGTCATCTGAAAAAAGCCATATTTTCCATGGCTTTAACAAAATCCCTCTGGGTGAAGCTTTAATACCATTTAAATATAGAACCAAATCCTGTTAGATTAATATCATCTGAATAATTTCATTGACTTCTTCTGTGTTTAACTGACTTCAGCAGGAGAAATCAGGTGAGTATATTTTTTTAATATAGGATTTGGCCTCAGGATTTTAGCCTTTAATTTTTCTAACCTTGGTTTTTCAAATGCAATTTTCAAGTTTTGTTACTGATGGACAGATTTGGCCCACTATTAATAAATACTATTATTATATGTACCTTTGCAGTTTCATCTCTCAGATTAAAGGTCAGTTCTAGATTGGTGAGAAAGAGATCAGAAAATTCAGGGTACATATCCAAAACTTCTAGTAGATCTTCTCTCTGGATCTTATGTAAGTCACAGTAAGTTAAAGCTCTCACATCTGCATTTGACTTTCCTGGTTTTGCGTAAAGATGTACCATTTCTCCAAAAATGTCATTTTTCCCTGCAGAGATAAAATTAGATGGAGATTATTACTTTAAACATGAATAAACCATTACATTTAATGATGTATTTCTTTATGATAGTGGCATAGATTACTTGATTTTACATTAAGTGATACAATCAGATTACCATTGAACATATCTTTTTGTAAAGAAAAAGTAATATTATTAAATATTAAAAGTGAAAGTATCAAAATCAATGAAAATGCATATAACTGGATAAAGTGAAATCAAAATCTAGTTTCATCACAACTTCAATTTCATCAAAACAGCATGACTAGAGCAGTTTCCTTTGTTCCTTCTTTAAAAACATTATTTGGCAATTTAAAGTAATATTGTTATGATGACAAAGATGCAGTTTCTACTGTTCAGTCCAGTATAGGACCTATCTAGCCTGTAATATCATTTTGTTAAGAATTACATGAAGAAGCTGACCATACCTGAAATACATTTTAGTAGAAAATTACTTAGCTTTTATATTTTTTCAGAGGGAATGCAAAACTTCTAAGATGCAGAAGTTGTTTTGAAGATGCTCTCTAAACATGGCTGCCTCTGTTTTGATACCATTACAGTTCTTTCAGTCAGTGTTGCCACATTCACATAACCTGTTTGTTAAAATTGTCATCTCTATTTAATTGCTCATTTTTGCTGAACCTTCACCTGACCTTCATCAATGCAGAGCAGCTGCAGCCACAGACCAGTGAAAATATCCTCTAAAGTAAGGGTTTCAGGGCTGACCTGCAAAATGGGGTTTGGTGGGAAAGTAGGACAACACTTGTAGAAAAGAATAGTGGTCATAGCAAGGGCAAAACAGTAGACTGGTAAAGGAGAATAGAGGAATAATTTTGTCTCTCTAACAATTATTTGTTAAATATTTGTGTGTTTTACATTATGTTACTAAGAGTAGTTCTGATTTCTCCAATGTCTAAAAAGGAAGCTGAAAACTGGGTGAGCAAGCAGATAAAAAAAATGCAAAAAATAGTGTAAGAGTTGATTATACAGTAAGGATCTTAAAGAACATAGGAAGATTAGGAGATAACCTGATTATATTGCAAATATTCTTTAGAGAAAGTGCTGATGATTTGAGAAAAGCTGTGGGAAAACCCCCAACATTTCTCAGAACTCTTTGATTTCTTTGATGAAATTGCAATACTTGTTAAGGGTTTATAACTTCATCCATGTTACCTCTGTTGGACTCAAGTCTTTTCAGCCCCAGACGACAAAGCGTTTCATGTCCATTTCTGTGTGTACATTTTTCAGAAAAAGCAACTACCTAAAAATATTTGGCTAAGTATTGATAAACTTTGTTAGGTTTCTGTGTGATTTCATTGCAGAGTAATTTTCATTTGTATAATCTTCTGCTCTTTTTCTGCAGATTCTTCAAGATACCAGAGACTTATTAACTGGAGGCAGCTCTCATGCCTCATGGATCATGCAACAGATGTGGGCCATTAGAGTATTTAACTTTTGGCTGCAGTTGTGCACACTGTTTTTCTGTCTGACCTACCATTCCCTGGGAGAGCTGGGCTCCAAACTGCAGTCCCTGGTGGGAGTAGTTGTAGGCTGGAAGTGGTATTGCCTTGCAAGTACCTAGGTTTCTGCTGCAGTGTGAAAGCATAGGGATCTGATGTGCTTAACATGAAAACTTGAGCAGTCTGCATCTTTGGCCCAGGAAGAAATTGATTAATTCATAAACTCATCAGTTTCCTTGATTGTGATTACACATTTCTTATGATAGAGATGAGTTCATCATCTCTTCAAGGTTCATTCACCTTGATGAACCACACTGCTCATAATTAGGGACACTTAAGACAGGTAAGTAAAAACTTCACAGTATTATACTTGCATGCTTCCTACTTTGCTTGTGCCTAAAGCAGACCCAGCTGATGAGATGGAGCAGCATGAGATGACACATTATCTTGATGACACTATCTAAACCTAGGGAAGGATTGTTTTAGACATATCTTTGTTCTTCTGCTCACATATCCACCCTGTGGATGCTACAGAATAATCAGTTGCAAGTGGACTAATAGCAACATACTGCCACCAGTCCATATCTTGCTTCAGCTGCTTTTCTGACTGTAAGTTCCTACAGTGATTGATAAACAGAAAGGAGAACATATGAATTATATTACATATGTTACATTACTAGTTTAGGCTTCTGTACAGCAAAATCCTTACTCATCTACTCAATTACTCTTTGCATTTTTATTATCAAATACAAAATTGAACAAACAAATCCATAGTCTTCTTTAGGTAGGGTTTTAGTTATTTAACTTTTAAAATTGCTGTACCTAATGAAGTCTTACTGGTTTCACATAAGAGTTATCACCAGTTGCAGGTGAACTCCCAGATGGACTAAGCATTGCCCTGAGCCAACTTGATTAGGAAAGAAACCAAGTAATTCACTATGCTATGCAAAAAAGAACATGTTAACAATATAGCAGAATACACTGGTGTTATTACATCTAGATCAGATTAATTTGCTATTCTTTTCTTTTTCTATATGCCCAGTGGGCAGAAAAAGACATTTGTGAAAACCTTTAGAAGACATTTTCAATACCTAGAGTAGATTCTTCCAGTAAGCATATAAGGAGGTTCTATGTGTCTCAATACCCTCATCACTGTTCAAGCAAAAGGATGTCCTTGACTTTGATTCTTGCAGCATGATCAGAACTGGAGTAAATAGATATCTGCTTCCTCTCAACTTGCAGCTTACTATTTGCCTAGTAAAATAGGGATAAATCTGACTAAAGTTAAGTCTTTAGATATCCAAAAATATGGGCTCTGTGATGCACATGAGTTATTACAGGAATGTAAACTTTTCTCCTTAAATAATTTCTTTGCTTGATTTTAAATAACAGTGAGTAAAACATTCACAATTTTCCTTCCACAGGAACAACTATGAATACTTCTTTCCAAATCTTTGACTCTAACATGCCTTGTAATAATCTACTTACCAAGAATGGCTACAACAATGTCACTCTTAAGGATTTCAATAGAGCCTCTTGACACAAAGTAAAGAGCAGTGAGAACATCTCCACAGTGCACTAAAGTGTCTCCAGGAGGTGCGTGTGTTGTCTTAAATTTCATAGCCAATGCTCGAAGACAGCCTTTACTGGCCCCCCGGAAAGCTTTGCAATTCTGAAGCAAATTTTGGTTGAGGTGCAGACAAATGTCAGCTTGTAAGCATTCTGGAAACCCCTTCAGGACCTGGAAAGGCAAGCATAAGGATTTCATGCAAATGCTGTGAAAATTCCTTTATATAATTTTTATGTTTTCTTCCTGGACAAAAAGAAAGAAGTGACATACAGATAGATGTGGCTCTAAGAGCTGTCAGAGCATTAAAATTCAACAAGTGCATACCGTAATCTATATTGCAAAGTTTATACAGTTATAGTGTTTATTAATATAAACACTAATCTATATAGTGGTTACAAAATATGCTATTAAACTTTGTTTCATTGCAAGAAACAGTATCAAGGTGTAAGAATGAACATACCACAGTACAATAACAAATGAAACAGCTAAAGGGAGAGTCTTGACTGAATTTCACCTATTTGGACTAACATCTCTATTTCTTTTTTATTAATTACAAAAGTACTATGTTTATTATAAGAGATTTTTTAATTTCTGAAATAACTATGACATTTGTAAAATGAGAGCTATCTGAACATTAGGTATTTTTCAAAAGGAGACCATTTTATTAGGATTGTCATGTTAAATATATTCTGCTTGTAGGACTTGGATTTTTATCAGAAAAAGCAACAAGAACCACTGAAACAAAGATGTGATGCAGATTTACATAGGCAGATGATTAGTTCAGCAAACCACAGGGCTGGTTGCTGTGGTCCTTGCTCATGTCTTACTCAGAACAACGGGAGTTTGCCTGAAGTAGAACCACGGGACTCCTCTTGGCTACCATGGCAACATGTTAATTTTGTTTAGAAGGAAAGAAGTGAGCTATTTACAATGTGCTCATTATGTGTGAGCTTTTCTAAATTGTCTAGGATAATATTACATCTGATTTTTTTTTAATATATAAAGATATCTGCTACTGACTTCGTAGGAGTACTGCCCACCTTGTGACTGCCTGCTGACACTATCAGGCACTACCCTTCCTTTGTTATATCCTGTTTTCTGCTGTCAAAGATGTGAAGAGGACAGGACTGGCTACAACTGTTGCATATTTCTAAAGGCAAAACCTGTACTGATGCTATGTCTACTGAATATGTGAACAGGATGTGTCTTTTTGCTATTAGAGCAGTCTATTAATTCATTCCTCTTTATCCTCTGCACTGTTTTTCTATAAATGTGTAAATATGTCTGCACAGAAAAAAGATACATCCAAAATGCATTCACTTGCTGCTACATTAATTTCTACTTCAGCACAATAAAGGTCTGTGCACTCAACTGTTTTGCACAGATATCCACAACTCATATCCCTTGCTTATGAAGAAGATGAACACATTTCTGATATAAGCCTTTTGTCCACACAAGCCAAACTATGTTTTACAAATGAAATATTAGTACCTTGAACTGAGTTGAAATGTTTCTATGATTATTAATTGAAACCAATGCTGTGAAATAACAAACAGAATGTTTTAATACATATATACAAAAATTTTATGAGCTTAAGGGCCTTACCACATGAAATTTATACATCCTCAGAAAAAAGCCAATATTCAACAACAGTAAGTAAAAGAAAATATAATAAATTAAAAGCTTCTGTGGTGCCACTCTGTTTTCAGTATCTACCACACCACTAGAAAAAGCTTAGTATCCAATGATGCTTTTTATTTTAATGTTATTATATTGAAAGAAAAAGGCTGTAGATTGTATCAACTTATTTGCTGAATGATACTGAGAAACTGATAAACAAATACATCTATCAAATGATACAGTTGGAGAAATATTGCCAGTGTTCATTTTGAAATTGTCATGTGGGTATAGGAGACCTTTTAAGAATCAATTAGTACACTATGCATCTATTTGACAACAATTTAGAAGACCTCCATTTTAATAGGATGCAAATTAGGAAATGTATTTTGAATTAAGAAGTACTTACAAGAAAAGGTATCTGAATTGTTAGAAAGTCAGAAGCACAACTTAGAATAAATAGTATTATTTTTCACATCAGCTGTTTACCTGATTTCTTAAGGAATTGTATTTTACCATTAAGCAAAAACCATGCAGACCATGCGTGTTGGTTTATATTTCTGAAGATACTTTGGATATTCTTTTAAAGAAACAATTATTTTTATAATTAATTTATACTTAACATGAAACTGTTCTAAAATCATTGCGTATTAGTAATATTTATTTATATGCCAAAACCATCTGAAAGACACCAGCCTCCGTTCAAGCATCTGTGATTAAAAAGTCCCTGCTCCATGGAGCTTACACTCTAAAATAGTTTTATACACCAGAGAGGAAAGACATTTACTCTTTAATATCACAATTTTCAAATGTTTACAAGGAAGACCAAATAGTGTTGATTTCCAATGGAGTTTTGGGGAGGATTCCATTTGTGCAAGCAGAGAAATGAAAGAAAGAAGCTAATAAATTTATTAAAACATTGTTATAAACTACATTGTTAAAATGAGCTTACCATATCATGCACACAGTATCTAGTTAGGTGTTTAATCTAAGTCCAGTAGCTGACACTATCCAGAATTTGATGTTTCCAAACTAAGTTTTATGTTGTGCAGTACAGACAACACTTTGCCAACCTTCATGTACATTTCTTATTTTTAGATTTTCATTACTGAAACAATTGTATTGAATATTATGTTATTATAAGATGAGAATCAACATCAATACAGTATGTGTACACATACTACCCTCTCTAAATATTAGAAAGTCATCCATGCAGTCTTCAAAATCATAAGATTAGCTCAAAAGTAACACAACTCATTGCATTTTGCTTCTTTTCACTTGTGTGTTTTTGGAGTCTTTAAACACATTTAAGTTACACTCCAATGTGGCAAGAAAAATTCTTGAAATTATATGAATTCAAGATTAGGTAATGCAAAAAATAAAATTTTTGAAAATTACAAAGCTGAAAATGCTTCTCAATAAAATTATCATAAATGAAAATTCCCAAACTAATAAATTGTTTGAATACAGGTTTGAGTTTCAGTCGCTGCTTTCTTTCCTAACATGTTTCTATAGTTACACTCAGTATCTCTTCACCTGTGATTCCACCAGGCCCTGGTGAGAAAAATCGTGTATTCTCATGGTTAGAATCATGTTTGGCATCAGAACTCATGAGATCAAGAGATAAACACAGTTATTTTTAAAAAGACACAAGACATAAAATCAACTTTAACTGCCCCCCCTAAAAAAAAAAAAAAAAAAAAGAAAAGAAAAAAAAAAAGAGAATCACTTAGGATGCTATGACCATAAGCTCCAGTTGTCTCTCATTGATGAAGTCCAAGTTCAGTTATCTCTTCCTGTCTGGAATAAAACTCATTTATTGTTAAATAATGTTGATTTATCTCGTGGCATGCTTAGAGAGGAGAAAAACGTCATTCAGAGAGATGTAAAACATGTTACATGGAACTGCGGTTTAGTTGGGATAGAAGGGACCCGATTCATACTGCCTTGAAGAACGCGATCTTTTGCAAGAGGAGAGGAAGTCCAGCTTCTTTAACTTCTGTTTTTCAAGGTGACAACACTCCCACATGTATTAGACACGTTTGTGACAACAGAATTGGACACATCTTTGTGACTTAACCTCAGACGACAAGTAACTGGGGCAATGACAACCTTGGGGTTTTTTTGATAATTTATAAAATTCATGACAATTTGTAGATATTCTGTCCTCAGTTCTCGAACAGGTATTGACATCTGTACCACAGAAACTATTTAGAAAGTATTCAAACTGAAGCAGACTAGGATATTAGCTACAATAATTGTCATTAAACATGGATATACCACATACCATTACCAACAGAATCACATAATCATTGAAAGAAATTCTGGTTGGAAAGGTCAGCTGGTCCAACCCCCTGCTGAAGCAGGGCTACCCAGAGCTGGTACCCCAAGGCAATGTCCATATGGCTTTTGAATACCTCCAAGGACGGAGAAACCACAACCTCTCTGGGCAACTTGTACCAGTGCTCAGTCATCCTCACAGTAAAAATATGTTTCCTGATGTTTGGACGAAACCTCCTGTTTCAGTGTGTGGCCATTTCCTCTGGTCCTGTCATGGGGCACCACTGAAAGAGCCTGGTTCCACCTTCTTTACACCCTCCCTTCATGTGTTGGTTTACATCGATGAGATCCCCTGTGATCTTTCACCTCTCCAGACAGGTTGAACAGTCCCAGATCTCTCAGCCCTTCCAAGCATGAGAAATGCTTCAGTCCCTGAAGCCTGGCAGTCAAAGGTATTCCTTTAATTCTTTAATATTTTGTCACACATTTTCTCTCTTGAAATATAGGTGGGATAAAACATCAAAGGCCAGGAAGCAGCTTAAGAGAGAACAAGAGGGCTCTTGTGTGTCTGTTTGGGTTATGTTGAAACTAGTGTTGACTAAAGCTTTCTTGTCCTAGAATCAGTCAGACTGGCAAGCATCCAGCATATTGGGTTGCTAGTCCTTTGGGGTCTGTTTTTTAGCATCAAGATAGTCAATTAGGTGGGATGCTTATGAGTGGCAGGTATCTAGCACATGGTGGGAAAGATAAAGGTGAGTCTCTCAAGTTCATGTGACAATTAAGGATGGTGTAAACTGAAAAAGGAATTCTGGTCCTTCCCCGCAGTATCAGTTTATTCCTGACTTGTCTTGATCTCTCCATGTGAAATGATTTAAGAAACTGATTCATGCAAACACTAACATAGCATAAAATTTGAGCGGCTGAAGGTACAAAGAGACAGAAATAAACACACTTTGTGTCATGACTAGAAATACTTAATCTCTGTTTGGTTCCCATCTGCATAACAGAGTCCTCAGGCTATGTTGACATTGGCATCAGTAAATGCTGAATAAAGTTCTCCAAATACCTGAATAATAAAATTTGAATTTTGTGTTGAAAATTAACATTTTTCTTAGTTTCTTAAGTAAGAATGATTAAAATAATATTAATTCATATATTTGGGGAAATAATTGATACATTTAATTTTAATCTTCCTGCCACGTAATTTTGAGGCTAATCTGAGACTCTTTAGCTGCACAAATTACATTGCACAGATTTTGAGTTAGGATCTCTAT